GGCAAATGGAAGGGATTCATACTTTGCCGTCCCCAATTGGTGAAGGGGAATTTTGCTTCTCAGCTGGTACTAGATTTGTGCGAATAGGTCCTTGGCGCACAGCCCTACCACTTTGATGAACCTTTGCTCAGCGTTTGTCCTTTATGCTACGGACATCGTTGGAGCAGAAGACCACACTTTACGATAATCAACCCGAAAACGAAACCAAAATCTGATCGGCCGCAAGCCTACCCACTGCCTTCATGTTTGTGGAAAAATAAAGTGGCCTCAAACGAATGCAGCATCCTCCTCCAAATGATGTAGTTCTTTTCTCCTGCAACGTTGACGCACTTGATTGCGTAACCCAGGTCCGAGTCCCACCGGGGCTGCTGACCTGGCCAGTTTAGGCGAGGTCGAAATGGCAGTTCAGTTTGGCCCGGATGAGAATAATAACATTCAGGAAGCAATGCTAAGAAGAGTGCAATTTAATGGAGGCATTCGGAGAAGATGCAATTTACACTTTCTCGTCAAAAATGTACCGGTAGCCTCGAAGCACTACTCAAGAAACCGACATTTTGGTACAGCCTGTGTTGCTTGAATGCTGAAATTGCAGAAGCAGTTTGTTCTATTTCAATGTATTTACTCGAATTTTGACACAAACAGACTGTCTCTCTCTCTCTCTCTCTTTGCCCCTTAATGCATTCCTTGTTGGGTTTGTGTTTGGTACAGTTGCAGTTGCAGTTGCTGTTGCAGCTCATTTTTTCAACTTTATAGTCTTCAATACCACCACTCTCTCTTCCTCTTCCTCTTCCTCCTCGTCATCATCCTCCCACTCATCATCATCATCATCATCATCATCATCATCATCCTCGTCGTCGTCATCCGTTTTTCCCCTTTTGACGGGCCGAGTCGGCAGGTAGACCTCGGCGAAATAGTTGCGCCAGAAGACGCCGAACCAAGGATAGAGCAAAGGATAGACGAGGCTGACGCCGGCGATCACCGCGAACAGAGGCCCTCGGCCGGGCATGTGTGAGGAGCCGAAGAAGATCTGCAGTTGCGCGACCAAATGGCGCGGCATTTGCGTGACGGCCAGAAACCACGTGTCGAAAATGTGTGTCCGCTTCACCTCGAAATAGGCCATCCGATATTGGAATGCGTCCGTGTCCCGCAGACACAACAAGACGAGCCGATAGACGACAATGTTGCCCAAGACGGGAGCAAGGAAAGTGAACGTCCTGGCGACCGCGAAACAGATTCGCGCCAGCCGCGAGAAGATCGTGTCCTCTTGGCACGACAGGCAGACGTCACTGCACACGTCGCGATCGGGTTGATGATCGGCCGTGGCCGAGTAGCCGACGCCGGCCACGATCGCCGTACAGCCGGCCAGCAGTCCGTAGACCAAGTGTAGGTTGGTGACGAGGGCTGGGCGCTGGCCGGCTTGGTACAGCAGATCGAGAAAGTAGCGCATGCCGATGTAGAAGTTGAGCATGGCGCGGACGTCGAGCATGAGCCAAAAGGCGAGTCGGGAGGCGTAGACGCGGCACAAGAAGCTGGAGTCGTTGGCGGCGTCGAGGCTGAGCTCGAACATGGTGCCGAGATGGAGGAGGAGGGCGAACACGTCGAGCACCGTCTGGGCGACGTGGAGCGGCCGGTAGGGCGCTCGGCTCTTCAGCACCCGCCTCAGCAACAGCCCGTTGCCGACCAGGCCGAACAGAGTGACGGCCGGCACAAGGACCAGTAAGACGAGAGGCAGGCTCATCGCTGGCCAGAACCGTCGCCGTCGCCGTCGCCGTCGCCGTCGCCGTCGCCGTCGTTGGTGTTGTTGGTCGTTTCGTCGGCTTCCACTTTTGGGTCGTCGTAGCCGTCGCCGTCGCCGTCACGTCACGGCGACTCGTCGACGCGCCGGCAGGCCGCTTTCAAAGCCGGCCTCCGATCGATCTCGCGTCAGAGCGACTCGAGCCGACGAATGGCGACGCTCGAGCACTCGGATGGACGGGCTGACAGGAAGGACATTAAGTATTCTCTCAAGACTATCAGTAAATCAGTAGTATA